AGAATTGCACTGCAAACAGAATTTTAGCATCCAGGCACTCAGAGTGTGATTTCAAAGTGCTCAAATGCTTCCTTTTTCTCAGTCTATGTAAGAAATAGTTTAGACTGTAGGGCACACTGATGGGACACTAAAAATGCAGAGATGATCTTTTTTATTTTCCCAAGTGAAGGCAATTTGTTGATTTCAGACTTTAACCAAATAAATTAATGGGTAAATGGAACAGAAATAGTCAAAGAGCATTGCTTTGAAGCTCAGATGACTATATATGCCAACACAAAAAAGAATTTGGTTTGGATTTCTGATAAGCTGTTTAAAGTAAAAATAATGAAAGTTTCTTATTAGAGCAGAAAGCAACAAAACAAATAAAATCCAATCTGCTTTCTTGATTAACCATTGACGTTCTAAAAAAGCATATTGCTTTTAGTGTCCAGGCAGAGCAGCTGTTTGGAGTCAGTCAGTGATGCTTTTCTTGTTTGCTCAGTTCAATTTAGAAGTTTACCCTTCTTCAGTGGCCAAAAATGCTCAGCAATAATTGTATTTCAAATGCTTGATGTGAGAATGCGTGGAGACTAAATGCCTGGATTCTGTGGCACTTTTCACCCAGGTATGCAGGACCCTGTAGTCAGAGAGTAGATCCTATCTTCCGGTTCAACTGGGCTACTTACCTTGCAAGCACCGAGCAGATCATTGTGGCCAGCTTCGATGGCAGAGGGAGTGGATACCAAGGGGATGAGATTATGCATGCAATATACCGGAGACTGGGAACGTATGAAGTGGAAGATCAGATAACAGCAGGCAGGTGAGCTACAGTGAAGTGGTGGACACCTGTTTCTTCTTATCTCTGCTTGTTGTGTAGGGGGGAAAAAAGATGGAGGTTTTGAATGGTCGTCTTGAAATTACTGGCAAAACCAGAACTAAATTCTATATTAATTTTGTATTTTTGGGCCAACTGTCATTTTGTGCTTAAAAAGAGTGAAGAGTTAGTGATGCAATAACAAATTTATCATATCTGTGGTTTTATAGAGGTAATAGCAGTCACGCTAGTAAAAGAGCATGCTACCAAGGCACTTGGAGCCGGAAGTTTTACTCCAGGCTTTTTGCAAGTTTCTGTTGTGACGGAGTTATTTGTGTGAACTGCTCAGCCTTTACATTATAGTTCATCCTTATCACTTGGTTTATGCTTGTAGACGTTCACTAAACCAAATGATGTCAGTATGAATTTCTTAGAATCACGAAGAAGTGACCTTATGGGGTTTGCTTTTTGGGATATTAAAATGTTAAGGAGTTAAACAAATAGCATTTCAGAATCTTTTTTTTAAACCTGACCGGAGTCCTTTACTACTGCAATTTGAGTGTTGCTTCTCTTTTTTCTTTTTTTTAAAAAAAAAAAAAAAGAAAAAAGACCAAAAAAAAGGCAAGACAGGTGGTGAAGTCTAACCTAATACAATACAAATGTCAGCAAGTGTGGTTTGATGGCTTTTACAGAGCATCCAAGTTTTGTTTTTTCACATGCACAGGTGTTTTTCTGAATTTCTTAAAGACACACACACCTGAAGTATTGTATGTTTCATACGCAGTCACTGTGATGGTGGGAAATGCATATTTGTACAATAGAAAGAGGCAGATGTGATGGAAAATAGGCACGTCTGTATAATGGCAGGTACCCGCAATCCATGAAGCATTTCATCTTTCTGTTTACTTTTAGAACGTTTTCTGAAATGAGCTTTGTTGATGAGGACAGAATAGGTATTTGGGGTTGGGTAAGTACTCAAATAAATTTGACTGGCTTATTATTTAATGTTAACAGCTATTTGCTCTGCTGCCTTGTGTGTGAGGTGCTGGAGTACTTGGTGTGAGACACCTCTGGGGTCGCGACACAGTCCAATACCTGAACTGGTGAAGTGCATCCTGCAAGTGCCTGTATACATTGTCTCTTTGCAAGCATTCAGAAGCCTTCGAAACAGAAAATAGGACTACTAGAGAGATTAAAAACAATTTAAAGGGATACTGCCAAGTTCTTTGTACAAGATGAACCAATATTTAAAAAAAAAAAAGTCCAAATATATATATATATTCATTAATGTCTATCTATATCAGTTGGATGACTCTGTTTTTTTAAAAAACGTGTAAAATAACACATGAACCAGCTGCATGACTAGTTTTCACTAGCAGCCTGAAAATACCTAAATCTGCTCTATTGTTGCGCTTGGCTATGTTTTATCCAGCAGTACTTCCAGCCAGAGGCCAGACTTCTCTGACTTTGATGTGTCTTTAAAACCTGTCACAGTAGAGGAGAGTGTTTAATTTGTGTATACGTACCCCTCAGCTGCAGGGCTAAGCCCCTATGTAGTGTTAGTGATACCAGTTTGATTCAAACTCTGTTTTTGTGTCCCAGGCTGCTGTTCCACTGCTTTTTCTGGCGTCACGGGGAGTACTCTTGCGTGCTCCGTTTAAGCGGGCTGTGTTTAAGTATGTGCAGGATTCCCTGCAAGAGCTTGATTTAAATTGCTAGCTGAAGTTTGGTCACTGGTGGTGAAAGGCACGAGTGAGTAAATCACTTGATGGCAAGATGATGATGATGGTACCTTTAGTAGCTTTTCTTGTGGAGGTAAACATCTCTGTTGTATGAAGTCAAGTGTAGTAGTAATATCTTTAGTGGAGGGAAATTCTTTCTACAGAAATGGAGGACTTAATGCATTCCCATCTCACTCCTGATGAGCCTCAGGATGAATGATGAAGAGCAGTCCTCTTGGTAGCCAGGTTGGGGTTATGCATCCTGGATACTGAACCTATGGGCAAACAGATTTTCTTTCTCTCTCGAGTTTTCAGATTGGCAGCCCGTCACTTTGTACGTTAATTCTGTTTGCCGTAGGTTCTGTATTAGTATCTTTACTGCGGCCAGGTCAGACAGCGTATTTACACATGGGTTTAATGACTAAGGGCAAGCATTACTTTGCTGATCTCATTGGGAGGACCTAAGTATTGAGGTTGGAGCAAACATTTAAGGGCTTTGAACTAAGATACAGTGCCGTTTGCCTGTAATCTGGTTTCAAGAGAGGAATGAGATCCAAAAATTGCTCTTCTTTTTGCACGTGGGTGGGCACATTTTCCTAAATAACCCCTTCAGACTACAGCAAGGGCAGTCATTTGGGCAGTCAGTGACATTGTTTAGGTATCTCGCTGCCTGGATGCTCAAGCGTGTCAGATATTTACTCATCTGTGTACGAGGCTAGACTGCGAGGGATTTTTCTGCGCATAGCGAGGAGCGTGTTGCTGCGCCGTTCCTCCCACAGACTCAGCAGAAGATCCTTCGCTCCCCAGTCACCGTCTTGCTCCCGACGCTTTGGAGGAGAGTTAGCAAGTGAGCTGCCGCAGGCCTGCTCTGAGGGAGTTGTAAATTTTCGGATGCCCTGGTGCACCTACTCATCGGGCGCGTTGCAGCCCGAGCTCTGCTTCCACCCACTCCCGCAGCACGGAGAGGGACGCGGTGGTTCA